GTGGCTGAGAGCCCTCACAGTCCAGGCAAAACGCCGATGGTAGTTTTTCTTAATAAATGATGCGCTAAAAAATGATTTTTTTTAGTGAACGCGTCACAGTTAATTACTCCTTTTTAATGTAATAAAGACGAAGAAACAATTTCTATTTTCTCTACTATACTATTTAGTACGACGGAGAAGAATCAAATTATCACTATATTTCTTCCTTTTTCTACTTCTTCTTCTTCCAAGTGCAGGAAAACCCCAAGGAGTTGCGGGTTTTTTTCTACCAATTGGGGCCCTCCCTTCACCACCCCCATGCGGATGGTCTACAGGGTTGTAGACCCCAAATCTTGTCCGGCCTCAAAATAAGAGCAGAAGACCTCCTATTCGAAGATGGACAAAGCCTAAAAAGCCACTAGGAGAGACTATTAGGCCCCATATTAGAGTAGGAAGGCTTTTCTGTACAAAAAATAATAATAATAATAATAATTTTGGCGAGAAGGCCTTTCCAAATGGCGAGAAGGCCTTCCCGAATGGCGAGAAGGCCTTCCCGACCTAGCACCTTTTTCCTATAAATAGGAGCCTCATTTCACCCATTTTCACACACACCATTCACTCCTACCACTCTCTAGGAAGCCTTTTGGCACTTTAGAGTGGCTCTGAGTATTTTTCCAGAGTTCGAGTGAGCCTTCCGATTTCCATTAAGGTAGAAATCGGTTAAGGATGTCCTCTTTTTTTGAGACATCCGGCCCTCAGTAGGGTGACACCTTTATTTTTTGATCAAGAGAGGAGTGTCTCTGTAGAGTGCGAGGACTGTCAAAAAGCGTCCTCAAGTTCAACATTTATAAAAGCTCGCTTCGGAGGTTCTCCTTCATATCTTTTCTCTTTTATCGCTTTCTTTTACTGTTTTCCTTGTATGCATTAGATATTAGGATCATGTAGATAACTATTTAAATTCTGTAATAAATAAATAGGGTAGAAGCATAATTTTATTGTCTTTATTTTAAGAATAGTCCATCATAGGGAACCCGAAAGGGGCGTTGTGGGGGTGCTAATACCTTCCCCACACGTAACTAACTCCCTTACCCGACTCTGGTTATAATGGCCAAAGTTGGTTTTTTGAAAACCATTGCCTTCTTTTTTCCTTTTCTGATGTTTCCGGTAAAAACATCGGTGACGACTCCATAAGAACCCTTCAAAGTTAGTTCTTGGGTTAGCCCAGTTATCGGACAATCCAATAACACTTTTTCGAAAACCTCGCCTCTAGGTTCAGCCCGGTTATCGGACAACCTAAAGGCGTTGTAACCACACCCATAAAAATGCAAAAATTGGAAAGTCGGAACCATCGCGTCGCTCCGACCACCTCGTTTTGACGGCGGCGATAGATGGCGACTCCACTGGGGAAGCTAGAGAGTTGATCCCATTTAGTGATGGACTAGTTTGATAAATAAAAGACTTAAAAAATTATGCTTTTACCCTACCTTGTATTATAATATGTTTTATTGCTTGGCTTTAATAACTGTTGTCTGTTTATACTTACGCAATTGTTTGAAATACAAATTGTACACAAATCCTTGTACACATACCCGGGGGCAAGTGAGAAATCCATAGGGAGTGGGTGGCAGGTACGGTTCGCTGTAGTGATGGCCTTGTGCCCACCGGTGTGATCGGAAACCACCACTCAAGGTGATAACCTTCCTCTTTTGGCACAAAGACTGACTATGGCCTTAGTGCTAAGCATGGTCGGAAGGCTGGAGAGTGGGGACCCTATAATGGGGGCACCTTGGGGGCCTTAGCTTTGGTGAGAACAGTTAGAACCTACCCTCGCCAAATCACTTTTCTGTAGGAAAACCCTACCTCGTGATTAAAATGACTTCTCGCCTGTTCGTGGATGATCGAATTGTGTGTGCATCTGTTTGTTGCATTTGTCTGTTGCATAGCATAACCAAACAACAGAAAGAAAAATCACAAAAAAATATTTTCGCAATAAACACCCTTATCTCGGACAGTCTGCCTTTTAGCTAGCCTGGTTTCAGGTTCTTTGTAAGCTAAGTAGCCACGCAGTTCTGACAGAAGAGATAAGGGACGCTAAATAATCCTTTCGCATAAAACCATTTTTTTATCTCGGACAGTCTGCCTTTTAGCTAGTAAAAGGCATCATTCATATCATTCATATAAAATAAAAAATATATAATAAAATACATAAAATGTTGACAAAGTCGTATCATTCATATCACATCATGTCATAAGTGAAAAAGCCAAGAGAGAAAATAAGTGCGTATGCATACGCATCATTTTAATAAACCCCTAAAAAATGGGTCTTATAGGCGTTTTTTGGGAAAATTACTCGGGTCAAATCCCCTTCGGGTATTTGTAACCTAATTCCTCACCTTTTTCTCTTCGTTTTGATATGTTGTGCGTCCAAATTGGACATCTCAGTCAAAAGTTATGTCACTTTGAACATCTATCGCCCTTTTGTACTGGTGCATGCATAAATACATTCATTCTAGGGAGCATTAGATATCCCTAAGACAATGACGAAAGAGGCCCCGAGCACATTTGTAACCTTCGCGACAAGGAAGGAACAAGTGTACTAAGGTGTGATGATGACCCCCATTATACTTGTCAAGTCTGTAATAGGGAAGGAACCATTACACCAAGGTGGGTATGATACCCCACAAAGCGTAAGCTTTAAGGAGGATACCTAAGCCATTGTCTTAAGGAATATCCATCTCATAAATCATTTGTTTTAAACAATAAAAATCTTTTTGCATTCTAGAAAGCGGCTGGTATTCTTCATGCCCTCATCCGCATACAAAAAAAAGCACAAAATCCCAAACACTATCATACATCATGTTAGAAAATAAAACATGATAATGTTTAGGAAAAAACAAACACTTGCATACATGCATCCACCAAACTTCATCCTCATAACATGCATCTAATAATAGACAATCGAAGAAGTGGACATTCCTCAATACCATGAAAAGAGGATTAGGGCATTTGCATGCCATGCACGGGAAGTCAAAAAGAAAATAAATAGAAATTCTAACATGCCTATGGGTTCATTTAGGCTTCTCCACTTTAAAAATAAAATGTACTTCAAAACATTGCATTGATGAATGTACACTGTCCGGATGAAATAAATAAAATTATTTGTTTTCATCATCTCTTCAAACGTCTATCACATTCATAAATTGCATTCAATCTCACTTTAAATAAGATAATAAAAAGAAAGGATTAATTGATGTGCTTCCCACGAATCGGAATAAGATGAAGAGCAAACATTTTGTCATCAAGTTTTTTCCAACGGTTGATCCGCCTAAGGAGGACAATAAGCCTCAACCGTTGGTCATCTGAGTAAATAAAGGAGAGGGGGGCAAGGATGTCATCACGTTTGTTCATGCCTCCCACATCAAAAAAGTTGTACCATGGAGATACGCAAAAACATCGTCTACCAATGAAGATATCTCCAGCATAGCCGGCATTCGGGGGCAGAATTAGAAATGGAAGAATCTACTCCCCCAAGGAGCTACAAGACAATGCTCCCAAGAATAAAGAAAATAAAAAGGCCGAAGAAAAACATAATCCAATCCAAAGAGGAAACTGAATAGACTTTGGATTCACGATGTTAAGGCAGTTCTCTCAACGCTTCGCCAAAGAGACAAACTCAGGGTAGGCGACAAGCTAGTCACAGTTTGAGCTAGAGACGACATTCAGATCAGCAAATCGTCTACCCTACCTTGAATGAACGCGGCAGAAGAGAACCTTTGAAATATCTTTTGCCAATATAAAAAGACTTTCCCAACAATATGAAGGTGACCCACATGATGAGGAAATATGGATATCGCCCAAACCAAGGGCTCATTAGAAACTCTCAAGGAATAAGGGAGCCACCAGATTTTAAAGACAATCCTTTAAAGCATTACCCTACAAAGGATCAAGCTACATGGAGAAAAGGGAAGTCTCCCCTCTGCAGCTCGAATCAGATTTTCCCAAATAGAGGGGTTCAAGCGTCAAAAGCGACTTTAGTCATTAGGTGTTCTCTTTCTGATTCTTAGGGTTTGTAAATCCAATGACTATTAGAGATTACTCCTCAGGGCTAGCCCGACCCCCGAGCATTGTAGGGCACACATTTCCCTATTAATTACAAAGAATGTCATTCTTACTATCTGCTTCTCTTCCTACTATTCATATCTAAACCTCATTAATAACCATGTTTAAACAAACGTTTCAAAAATGCGTCAAAATGCGTCATCGTCAAAATAATCAAACCACTCATCACCACTGATTGACTAGAAACACAAAATAAAGTTTTACCTCGTCATAAATAAAGCCGTGTTTCGGCAATGTTGTGCAAAAAGAAAACAAAAATCAAAAGAAGCCCATAAAAGCTAAAGGCCAAAAAGAGAGGGCAAGATACCCGGTAGGAAACCCACAAAGGGGGCTACGCAAAAGTTAGCGTAAACCTGCTAGGAAACTTGAACAACCATAAAGGGTAGCCTGGGCAAAAATTAGGGTTACAAAATAAAGTCCGCTAGGTTTCCAAAGCAAGAAAAAAGAAACCTAGACAAAAGTTAGGACAAAACAAAACATAACATCCTAAGCTGAAAACCCAATGGGCAAACTAGGGAAGTCAATCAGTCATAGCAAGCGCCATAGAATAAGATGTCACTTCATAAACAAAACGTTGTTTAAACTAGCCTAAACACTTTAACCAACCTTGGCTAACCGTGCTTACAAAACCCATTTTTTCTCAAAATAAAACAATTCTAAAACACAAGCCTTTGAATTAAATATCCTCTTCTTTCTCTTCTCTTGACCCTTACCACTATGACATTCTAGTAAGTAGTAGGGAAATGTGGAGATAGTAATCAATAGGAGGATTAACATCCCCAAGGAAAGGGAGGGGCACACTGACATGGCAAGTCACTCTACAATTAACACAATCATTCTTCGGTCATGAAAAAATCAAGACGGCAAAATTAGTACAGCCTATCATGTCGACAAAGCACATA